CAAAAAGTCATAAAGGTCATTGCTAACACCCTCTTCATTATGCCGAATGTCACGCTTATCACTGCTGTAACTAAAGCCGGTTCCAATTGGTTGGTCAACATACAGAAGGTTCGAAACCTGCATATCACCAAGGAACGTGTTAGCTTCAGTACATAAATTAAGCAGAAAAAAGAGCACCACAGAATGAAGTTGCTACTTGACACGGTTATTCCAGTGAAAATATCTATCAAATCTTCTTACTTTCAAAGACACTTCACGAAACTACCATCTCCATAGACAAAAATGACTAAACGATCTTTTAAGGTTAAACTATACAAAACTCCCATAAATTTAAGACTATATACAAATAAACCCCTTGACCCTCAAATCTTGGCAAAAAAACCTCCTAAACTATCAAATTTGTGTAAACTCCCCCTATTGTCAATTATTTCATTATTTTACTAACGAATCATAATATGTTATAGACCCCTTAAACTTCTTCTTCTTTTTGTCTAGATAGCCCCTCCAAATTTTGGGTGATGCGTAAATAACCCCCTTTAAAACCTTAAGTCATATGCAGATAACCTTCTGTTATAATATATTATATCATTGAAATGAATTAATTGCAGGAATATAAGAGTTAATGGGGGTCTATTATAGAATTTTTAGACATTAGAAAGGTTATCTGACATAACCTGAAATTCAAAGAATTATGTATAATTAGCTTTTTTTAAATTATATATTACAGATGAGTTCCAATCTAAAATATAAGAAAATAAAATTCTTATGAAAGAAGCAATGCTAGAAATCAAATTCATACAATAGCAACAACAAGCCTTCTCCCACTACGCGGGACTGGCTACATAAATTACACAACACCATTGCACTTGATTATCAATCAAGTTTTTAGAAATATTATTAATTAAAAGAACTCGTTCTAATTTTCATAAATATTTTTTTTGGTCATCCTCTACCTCTGTTTATAGAATTCATGACTATCAATTTCAATCTCTTCACCGATGCCTCCTATAGCCTTCTTTGTATATATCCAAATTATCTCAAATGATTTCCTACTATTTCCCCCTCAATAGATGTCACGCCTACTTTTTTTTGTATACACTCATTTCGATTTTTATCTTTTTGTGTATGCTCGCACATCCGTCTCAACATTCTCATCTCTACCATTCTAACTTTATGCTTTTCTTATACCTTTAAAGCACAATACTTACAGCCACATAACATAACTAGTCTTATAGCAACTCAATAAAACTTTCCTTTAAGTTTATTAGATGCTTTTCAATTACAAATAACTCCTTTACCCTTTCTTCAATTATACCACCTCATTTGTATCCTATATACAACATCCTCATTAATTTCCCAAACATATTGAATAATAATTTTCAAATATCTAAACTTTTTTACTTGAGGTATAATCTTATCTCTCAATCTCACCTCTAAATTACTATTGACTAACATCTTATTAAAATTACAATGTAAATATTCCGTCTTACTCTTACTCAGGCGAAAACCCTTCGATTCTAAAATCCTCCTCCGTAACTCAAATTTGTAGCTAATCTCTTTTTTTATCTCCACAATAAGAACTATATCATCCGCCAAAAACACGTACTAAAAGATTTCTTCTCAAACATCCTAAGTCAAAATATCTAGTACTAGATTAAACAAATAAGGGCTCCAAGATAATCCCTGATGTAGTTCAGTCCTTAAAGGAAAGTCCTTTGTTTTACCATCAAATGTTTTTATACTAATTGTTGCCCCTTCATACATATCTTGTATGGCTCTAATATAGGCAACCCAGACTCCTTTCTTTTCTTAAACTTTCCAAAGTACTTCTCTCAATACATGGTCACAAGTTTTTCCCAAATCAATGAAAATCATGTATAAATCTTTACCTTCACTTTGATACTTTTCTATTAATCCCCTTAATAGATAAATTGCTTCTGTAGTCGCCCTTCCCTACATAAAGCCAACTTAATTCTCAAAAATATCAATCTCCAATCTCAAAGCATGCCAAATCACTCTTTCTCACAATTTCATTGTATGACTCATAAATCTAATCCCTCGATAATTTACATAATTCTAAACGTAAATAGGAACTAAGGAGCTTCTCCTCTCTTCGTAAGGCATTTTTTTTGGACCGTAAAATCTCATTAAATAACTTAGCCACCGCACCCTCTCATCACCTACACATTTTCATAATTCAATAGAAATACAATTAGATCCATTAGTTGTACCATTTGTCATTTTCTTAATAGCTTCCTTTACCTCATTTTCGCACATCCTTTGATAGAATGACAAATTCTATTCTCATTCATGAGTTACTAAATCCTTTAAGTTGCTAGACAAACCCCCTCCATCATTGAAAATTTTATAAAAGTAGGTCTCCCATCTGCATTTAATATAACCATATGTAATCAAAACTCTTCCTTCTTCATCTTTCATACATAGTACCTGTTCTAAATTTCTTAATTTTCTTTCCCTACTCTTTAAGGATCTTATAAATTTTTGTTTTCCATTCTTTGTCCCAAAACCCTTGTAAAACTCTTCAAATACTTTAAAACAAGTTTCACTCATAACTTTCTTAACTTCTCCTCATAAGAGGACCATATCACTCCTTCCAGCTGAAGGTGCACCACAGATAATAAGCTGTTACTTACACTCACCTAGTCACTCCTTCCAGCTAAAAGCATGCATAAAAAATAAGTTCAATCAATTGTCAGTTTGTTTTAAGTTCCTCTGATTGACTGCAAAGCATCGATGCAATAATCTCATAGTAACTTCAACGCTTCATTCAATAAGATGGTAATACCCAAAAAAAAAAAAGACGTTTTTCTATTTGCCACGGCTTTTAAATAGAGAAGCTTGCTTTCTTCTAGCTTGTTATATATATAAAACAAATTGTGTGTGTGTGGGGGGGGGGGCACATTGATATACAGGGAGAAAAACTTGAATTCACATAATTCATGCCCATACCCTTAACCCAGCACAAGCACAATGCATACAATACAAGGACTCCAAAAGAAGGATAATTCAAGCACAATAACTCAGAAAATAAAAAATACCTGGTCCCAACCATACTCGTTCCACAAAAGGGACATGTTGTCAGCAATTTTGAAAGGGCCATTTTCATAAAACATCGCCAATTCACTGCTACACCCAGGTCCTCCAGTTAACCAAAGCACAAAAGGATCCCGCTTGCTGTTGCGAGATTCAAAGAAGAAGTAGAACATCCTGCCAGATACAACTCACAGTTAGAAATAAAAACAATATACAAAGGATAAAAAAGATAAAAAAGTTTTCTTGCTTTGCGACAAGAATATCCTGATCATCTACTCTAATTCTATAGTAAAATATGAAAAAAAAAAAAAAATTCACCGTTCCTGCAACAGTGATTTTAAGAGTGCCATGGGACCACAATTGCTTGTTTTTAATTCAATTATTTCTTTATCACTTTTTCACAATATTTTTTCATTCAATCCCCTGCATCCTACCGGGCATTTTCTAGTTTAAACAATAAAATGGGGAAAAACGATAGCCAAATTTACACATTCCAGCCCAACATGCGTACAATAATCTGCAATCATCCGATAAAAAAGAATAAAAACCATACTTAGCTGCATGAGAATGCTCAATCGTGTAATAGCCAGCATGATGACCCAAGTCCTCAACAGAAACCCCAGACTCAGAAGCCACTAAATTGGGGAATCTGAGGGGCCTCTCAACGATCTTCTTGGCTTCGACCGAAGAATTCCCACTGCGCACGATGTTGACATCCACATCAGGGGCCAAATTGAGCTGTCTGATGAGCTTCTTCGCCTGAACCGACGGAAAATCGGACTGCACCTGGCGAAGATCATCGCGTATCTTCGCAGACGATGATGGTGAAAAGGATAAAAGGAACACAAGAAGCGAAGAGACGAAGATTGACGAAGAGAGCCCCATTATGGCCTGATTTGTTGCGTAGGGTTTCGTCTAGACTCTAGAGAAACGAGTCCTTTGAGGGCATGTACATATACATACATATATATATATATATATATATATATACATATAAAGAGCGAGGGTGGGAGAGTGTTCGTGTGTTCGCACTTCCCCTGGGAGTGAAAGAGCCACGTCACGTAAGTTCAGGGTGTGGGCCACGACGGTCGATAGGGACATTGCTTTTTCAGTTAATAGCTGCTTCTATTTTATTTTATTACAATAAAAAAAAACAAGTTGACATTTCTTACCTCTGTTTTTGCCACCAGAAATATTTGAAAATTACTATATTTTTACTATTGAATGTTTTTTTTTATAATTTAAAATTTTTAATTAAGTTCAGACATCTCTAGTATATGAAAATCGTGTCACTATTTTGTTAAAATTGATTTATTAATGTAACAGATCACACACACACACATATATATCATTTCAATATTTTAAATATGAATAATCTATGTTAATAAAAAGTTATAATAGTAGATAATAATGCATGATTAATTCAAATACGCAGCAAAATATTTTAATGATAAAGACTCGATTATAAATAATAGAACTTAAATTACAAACTAATTTTCTTGGCCAACAAATTACAAACTAATAATTGAATAATCCCAATCCTATACAATAAGAAGGATGATTATTTATAAATATTTTTTGTGTAATTATTTTAATCCTACGTTGAATATTTCTTGGGCCTAATGGTTTTAGACATATCTACGCTTCCGAGCAAATTGGAAAAAGTATAATTAACGTTTCGTGCAGTTTCTTCATATATACCATCTTTTACACTCAATAGGATTCATCCTACTAATCATACCAATAGTTAACCTAACAGGTGCTCAGCGCCAATTTTCAAGTACGCACCTCTTCTCTGTGTCACTTGGCAAGATCTTAATCTAGAAAAAATCTGTATTCTTTTGGTACATATTTATGTCACAGAAAACTTAAAACAGATCTCAATCGTAATAAACTGCCAACTATAGCCAGCTATATATAATATATAAAAGGAAACGGCCCTGCACACGTACATGCCTAAAAAACCTGACTATAAACTAAGACCTGCGTTCAAGCTAATAGGAAGAATGAGATTGAGTAGGGTGGATATGAGGGACCATTGCGGCGGAGACCATGGTGTTGACGCCGCACATGGCGTGGCCGCGGCACAGCCGGTAATAACCGTGCTCGCCCCATTTTTTGCCCCATGAATTCTTGATGATCCAATACGGCTTGTTCTTCAGTCTCAGAATAGAGAACCCTTTGGCTCCATACCCAACCAGCAACACCCCGTGGTTCAACCTTCTCCTGCTGCATATAAGAGGGCACGACACTCCCCCTATGTATGTTTGCATGAACACTGAATTTATTCCCACTGCACAATCATCAATCGATTTACTATCATCATCATCCATATACAAATATTCCTTTGTCCGCCAGATATGAAACGAGTATGAGGCTTACTGGAAAGAGGGCCGTGATGGACTAAGTAAGCGGCGATTTGGGACTCGTCCATGGGGATGTTGGTGAAGTTGGAGACTCTGACGGCTACTTTGTGTGGATCGAACTTGCATTGGCCTTGTCTTCCAGTGTAGGGATAAGAACTCTCTTCTTCCAACCCACCTGCCTCCATCAAGTAGCTATACGCATTTGTCATCAGACCTCCTCTGCACCCTTGGTCGCACTCTGTCTTGTCTCTTATGTCACACTATGTATATACATGACATCAACAAATATAATCAGCACCATGCATGGCTTTTTTATGATCTCGATCGTGTTCCCACACACGCACACACCCACCTTGTTGTCACAGTCTACAAGCTGCTGTTCACTCAGACTCAGAAGCTTCCCGGTTGCAATAAAATTGGCTCCTTCTAAAGCTCCTGTTGTGCTGAAAGCCCAGCATGATCCACATGCACCCTGCACCGAGTAGATATATTATGGCGATGATGTATCACTTCTGAATCTTCTCTATGACTTACCTAGTGTATGTTTTAATTTCTCCTCCTGAGTGATGCTCAGTCTAGTTCAGAAAATTTATATATATATATATATATATAAAGGTGTATACATGTGTGTAATTATTCAGCATATAGCAACTCGGATAAAATAGAACACCTAATTTAAATATATATATATATATATATATGTAGTAAATATTTTGCTTTACCTGCATCTTAACTTCAGTAACAGCCCCTTTTTCTCTCCAGTCAAAGCTCTCCGGAAGATCTTCAACATCCAAGGGCGGTGCTTCACCGCGGGTTTGGCCATCGGTGATCCCATTGATCCCAGATCCGCTTTTGAGACCGGTATAAAGCTGCTCGAACTCCTCTGGCGACAGATCAGAGAAGGGCGTGACGCCGTGAACCGCTGTCGGGTCTAGGGCCTGGTGCTCCGCCGCTCTGATCAAATTGTCGGCGAAAATCCTGAGGCGGTGGAGGTACTCCTCTCTGCTGGAGTAACTCTTCTCGTAAGTTTCCATGAAAATTCGGAACTTATTCTCGGCGCCGATAATATCCTTGTCTGTGAGACTGAGCTTCCCTTCACCTCCGAGGAGCAACGCGGACAGCGTGAGAGCGAAGAGGAAGATGGAAGCAGGTGCCCTGCGCTTGAGATCTAGGCCTGGATTCACCATATCTCCTTGTGCTGTTGTGCATGCAATGGCAAATCTTCAGCTTGGGTTTCCTGGGCTTAAAGGGAGATTCTCGTGGATGTGAAATGACACATTTGACCTCAGATGAGGACGTAGTGATCTGGATTAGCATCGAGGGTATTAATGTAAATGGAGGTGAGTTTGGGAAGGTTGCAGAAGCATATAGTGGAGGTGGCAGATGATACTGCTTAACATGCAAAGCAACACGTGGACAGTGGAGAAATATGGAGATTTTTATTATTGAAAACTCGGCAAAACATACACTCCATGTCACTAATTCTTGTAATTTAGTTTGTCAAATGCACAAAATGTAAATGCAAGGCCAAATGATGGCAATGATTTAAGGGCAAAAGTAATAACGCCACGCCTCTCCGAGATTATGTAATATAATATATAGTAGAAAATATTTATGTTTGTATAACAAAAAAGAAAATGTTTATGCTTCAGTGCGGATAATGTACTGAATTATACTTTATATATATTTATATATATATATATATATATATTTTCATGTATTTTATATATATTTTCAATAAAAATTGTTAGAAAATAATAAGTCATATTATTATATTACGAAACTTTGTTGGGATCTTATATCAAAAAGGAACAGACTCTTGTCTCTCGGTGAAGATCTTACGGGACAAATACACACACACATATATAATATTAGTGTGGGAATGCCTTTTTACATCGATTATTTTAAATTTTTTATATGGGTTAAAGGGGTTGTGAAAAATTCTATTGTTAAAAATAGAATTTTTCACATTGGTTGTATTTTTTAATATATAATTTGTTTTTCAATACATTCAAAACTTAAACATGTAAATTATACAAAGTATTTAGCAAATATAAACAGTCAACTAGCCAACAAAATCAGTTATTATATAGTAAATTAAACGCATATACAAAACTAGCATAATATTTCTATACTAATCAATCTATATATATATATATATATATATGTTCAACTATCAATTTGGCACCCTCTCATATTGAAAAGTGCTCTTGGAGAATTTGATGAGTCAAGTTTTCTCAAATTATCAAAAATTTAAAGAATAAAATCAATCAAAATAACATTATAAGATGTTATGTGAAAGAATTTAAATTAAAATTACAAAATCAAATAAATACCTTATGCAATTTTGTGGTACTTCCCACTTCAACTATCTCATATGTATAGCGGATAATATAATACCTACATTCTGTTTGTCCTAGTTATTTATGACATTGAAAATAAATAAAAAGTCAGAATTAAACTAACATGTGTATGATGATTAAAGATAGAAGCTAAGTATTTATACTCACTTTCGAGTGATTCTAACAAATCGTTATTTCTTCCTTACATAATCCAGTTGACATATAATATATTTGAAGCACCCTATTATTAATTGTAAATAAAAAATATTAAAAATTATAAATATACTAAGAAATAAAGTTTTACAAAAATAAACTTACTTACTTATTGAAAATCTATTTAATCTCATCACTTGGTTTATTTCCAAGAAACAAAACCAATAAACTAAAGCTTAAGAAGGGTAAGGAACACAAAGTGATCAATGATACCTATAACATAAAAAAATTATTAATGTGTATAAAATAATGTGAAAAAACTTTATAAATATATAGATATGAATAAAAAAAATACTTGCCCATCAATAATAGACACTAGATAACATTGTAACTTTGCATTTACCATATGATTCATCACGTATGTCTTCCTCTAATGTATCACATTGCTCTTCCCCTACAAAGCTTCCAAGCATAGAAATTTGAATTTTTCCTTTTTTGTTCCTCATTTCATAGTAAACATTATAAAGGTGCCTGTTATTGAAATGTAGTCAAAATATTAGTGCTAAGAAAGAAAGCTAGATAAAATAGAGAAAAGTAAACAGAAAAATTACAAGATTTTTAATTTGGCAAATAAGATGTCTAGCTCTTTTAAAGTTAAGAACGTCAAAGGTTTTTTTTATCAATTGAAAAAACATATTACGTTTTTAAACCCCACGACCCCTAATGGCATTTTAATATTAATGGCTTATGTCATATTCTTATAAATTTAATGTAATGTTGCTAGACAAGAAAATTTCTCAACATCTTTAGGTTCCTAGTAATATAAGTAATTAAATAAATAGAGTTAGGAAACGGGCAGGCTTGGCCCATAAAGGGCTTAGCTCATGCCCATACGGGCTCGACCCTAAGCCCATAAGCCCAATTTTTCATTTTTTGAGGCCTAAATCTTATTCGAATGGCTCAGGATTAGGCCCATAGGCATTATTTTAAAAAAATTTAAAATAAAATTAAACATTATAAATTATTAAAATATTTTAAAATTCAAAATAAAACAAATCAAGATTCTCATAATTTTCAAGAAATTAAGCGCCACATATTTAGAAGACTATATTAATTAGAATATTCTTCAATCTAAATCTAAATCCTCATCATCATCATCATCTATAAATAAAACATTTGAACAAGGTATTGGGTATTGTGAAAATATCAAACCTGCACATATTCATTTCATTTCAAATATAAATAAAATGTTATTTTCATTTCAAAATCTACACATATTCAAATCCCAAACAACTTATCAGGTATAGCTAGATTAAAGAAAGTTTCAGAAATCAAATCAGACTCATGACTCAAACATAAATTCATATATATGATCAGTTCATGAACGTCAACATGTGCTTGTGCTGGTTTAGCAGCTTGAACTAAAAATTAATCACAAATTTAACTACTTACAATCCTTTTCGCAACTGTAGCAACCTCTGAAGTGATATACTCCCTTTTCTTCATCCTCTTAGCCTTCCATTTTTTATGGCAAGTTGGGTGAGGTGGGGGCTAGACAATAATAGAGGGGGTTCGCTTTGCTACTTCCTCCATTTTCTTCTTATATTCCTCCATCAACTTCCCTATATCATCGATGAGACATGTAATGGGGATATACTTTTGTGATTATATTGTTATAGTTGCAGTAATTAATTTCTGTGAAAATGAAAAAAATTAACTCAATGAAATTATATTAAACAACTTTAAATAGAAAGTGACAACTTATTACTTGAAGTCCAAGGTCACTCTGAGATGCCACAAACTATCTCCATGTATCTTGATCAAGAAAATTGTACCCTTAACATAGATCCCGACTCGCTTTCTTCCCATTTGTACAAATGTACTTTATAGTCAATGTTGATTTAAAAATCCTTTCAACACTCACAAACATCCTTTAACCAATGCTTCTCCATCTCAAGGGTAACAAGAATATCATAAGTTAGCTATAAAGTAATTAAGTTTTAAGTAAATTAAAAGTTTTAAAAAAAATACTATAAAAATAACAGTTCTAAAGTTAAAAGTACTTACTAAAATTTCTTCCTAAACTTGATCCTTAATAGCTTGTGATACTTCTTTCCAATCCTTACATAGAAAAGTAATTTTTTCACGAGTCTGAATGCCAATGAAGTTGATAAATCGATCTCCCTCAACGCCAAGTAGAACTAAATATGAACTAAGTTCAGTATGTAACCTCCCTGTAGTTTGATGATGTATGGCTAACTCTCTTAATTTTGTAGGGCTTCTCCCTCATTCTTACCAAGTAAACTAGTAGTGTTATTACCTCCTTCAAAACCCTCCACACATACACATATGGCTGTTGGAAACAACAAGGTGAGATGGATCAGAAATATAAAAATATAAGTAAAAAGGCAAGAACAAATATATACGAAAGCAAATAAAATAAAATAAAATAATAAACCAAATAAGAAACTATTACTTTATTCACTCTTCCAAATTCCTTCGCAACGATAATCTTTAACAGTATAGTCATTATCTGTTTCATCCACTACACTTAATTGAAGTAGATTTGTTATGAAAAGTGAGGTCTCATCAAGATCAAAACTAGAGTTATCATCACCATCTACTTCAACAATTTATTTTTTTGCCTTAAAGAATAATATACAACTATTTGTTAGATTGGTCATATAAAACACCTGTTTTGCTTAATTTGCTAAAACGAAGAGCTCATTAGTGTGACCCACCCTATCAAGATCTATTAAAGTAAATCCAACAATCTTGTCTATCTAAATGCCACTCCCATATGAGCTTACTTACATTTGAAAACAACAATTTTGTATTTGGTGTAATCTCTCAAATCTCTTCAATAATTCCATAATTGGTCATTGGTGCCCATTTTAGGTTTTTATTTTTCAAACTAGAAAAATGCTAAGTTTTAGTCACCACTATCACTTCACTATTCTGCATAATATTTTTTTTCATATTGGGCTTTCGTATATAATGAGTACCTATTTATATCAAACTTGCCCTGGCATACAACCTCAAATGAGGCCCCTCAATTAATATTTTATCGTATAAAAGACATTAGGTTTGTTGCGAACCTTTTCTTCAAAACACTTGATGAATGTCTTATTGTACTCATTTGCTAGTTGCATATCATTCTTTTCTGAGTTTTTGTCCTTCAACATCTATTTATGAGCATTTAAGTAACATTGGACTTCTTCCATTTTATTTAAAATGTAAAGATGAGCTTGCAACATCTCTTCACAATACATACTCTTCACTTTGACAACTGTGTTCCCTTATTTATGAGAATAGTCCCCTTATGGCAATATTTAGGAACTCCAACAGCCTTTACCCCATTTAGGTATGTGGTATAAAACTCGAAAGTCTCTTCAACAATATATCTTTCAACAATTGAGGTTTCAAGATGATATGGATTCTTCAAATATCCTTTAATATTTTCATGTAATGCTTAAATGAGTACATTTATCTAAGATAAACAAGATTATGGAGATTATTTCCTCACTTAGTAAACAATTAAATATACCATAATGTAAAAAAGTTGGAGGAAAGTACATATCTAATTAACACAAAATGATATAACATTTATTTTTCGATTCATCGAACTTATTAGAGTTAATAACTTTGCTGCAAATAGAATTAAAAATACTATATAGCCTTGTAATTACATG